GCCCCTTACATGCCTTCTGCAACTTAAATATCAGGTCCCCCCGACTCTCTCTTTCTCTCCCTCCCAAGCCCCCGGCCCCCCCCCCCCCGTTTGAGCTGTTAGAGATCCGATCTCTCTCTCGCTTTCTCTCTGCCATTGCTTGCAGAATTTCAATCAGCGCCAAACAAAGCATCCCTAAACCCTAAACCCCTAAACCGAATCGTACAACTCCGAAACCCCCGAAACTCTTCAGCCGAGGCCTCGAAACTCTCAAGGCTTGTGGACTCTAAACCCTCACTTCGTCGCTGGTCCTCACCGCCCTTGGTCGCCTCCGCACTAACGCCAGTACGACGGCCCACCGGCCTCTTGACCTGTTTGGAGGACATTGCTGTGTGTGGGTGTGGGGTTCAGGGGTAGAGTTGTTGGGTTGATTTCGGCTTTCGCGTCTTGAGGCTCAAAGGCTAAAGGTTTCGCGGTTCAAGGTTTAGGGTCTAGGGTTTAGGGGTTTAGGGTTCAGGGTTCCGGGTTTAGGGTTTAGGCACCTCATGGGCTTCAATAGCTCATCAGAGGTTAGACCTCGGCATGCTTTGCTCCCTATACGGAAACACGAAGCACTCTTTCATCCCGACGGTATCCTGGCGCTGGCTTCAGATCTCTAGGGAAGACCTGCTTGTCTACACCCGCCATGACCAGAACCTGAACTGACAAACCAGCTTAAACGCAAAGAATCCTCGGAACAGCCCTCCAAAGACACCCACTCTACAGCACCTAGGCTAAACCCTGCATAACGGCCATGTCGAACAACGAACGATAAAAAAAACTCCTAAAGCCGGCAGACAAAGAGTTCTACCCCGACAGTGCCATTGAATCAGTATACGTCTTCTCGGGCCCTGATCTCGGAACAAACCCTGAACCCAGAAGAATCTGGCAGTGGACCCAAAAAGGATCTTAAATTCAGGAGCCCTGGATAAGGTACCCACTTCATCCCATTAGTAACTAGTACAAGACATCCGGATATAACTTTTTTTGATTCTAGCCAGAGATCTAGAACCCCTAAAGAATAGAAAATCAAAATTACATGAGCAATCTCAAAACTTCAACAAAGGTAACGTGCGCCTTCATGGCCATGGGGTTTTGGCACGGTCCATTGGTGCGTAAGATTTGCGAAGAGGCTGTAAACGTGCGGTTGCGTGCACGTTGTTGACGAAAAGGCTTGTTTTGGATGCATTTCAACGTACCGTGTTTATCAGGCAAAGCACGAATTCACTGGCCCCAGTGGGAGATTTCTAACCTTCCGAATGCGAGTGCAGCCGGCCACTTTTTTCACAAGCTTCTTCTTGTACTTGGCGTCTGCCAACCGACTTTTGTCCGTCGACAGCTGTTTTGGAATGTTGGAACGGAACATAAAGGAAAAGCGATGGTTGTAATGGTGATGGTGATGATGATGATGCAGCACATGTTGATGATGTGAAGGTACCGTTCATACCAGGGATTTGCGTGTCGAAACACGATGATGATGAAGATGATGATGGCCTGTATATTGACGATGTTCATGGCGGTGGTGGGGAAGTGGACGTCATTACCCTCCGCCCCACCCCCCACCCCACCCCACCCCATCCCCCAAACCGGGAAGCCTTAAACCAGCAAAACCTGCCAAAGCCCCGTGGTCACGAAGGCGCACGATAGCTTCAACAACCCAAGTAAGTAAAATACAAGATGTAGAATCTAGTGCTGCATTCCCAAAGCGCCAAACCTGGAATGGCGATACCTAGAAGTACTACAATTGCATATCCCGCAGCCCCGAAACCCTAACCCCCAAAAAATCCCAAAACCTGAATCCCAAAAAGAGCATAGGTTGGTTTTGCTTTTTCTGGGGAGGGTTTATCCCCGCTGTGTCCCGCCTGCTGGATGGGAACCGACTCGGCTGTGTCCCCCGGATCGCTGTCGGAGTCTGCACCATCCTTCAAAAATGAAGTTTAGGGTTTAGAACGTTACCTTAAATGGGTAGTTTGTACTGGTACTACACAAGGGCATGAGCAAGGGCACTATAAGGGTTCTACAAGGGTCCTTGAAAAGCTTTGCGGTTTGCTGTGTTTTTGCCTCCCATGGTTACGCTCTCACAACAGTCATGCCTCACATTGTAAGGGCTTGGTCTGCGTTGACATCAACACCATGCACATGTAATGGTTGCCCTTGGCTCATAGTCTTGCTGAGGCCAACAGATGTTGCCTCCTGCGGATTCGTTCATTGTTCGAGAAGTTTCCGCTGGGCCCCATCTTAACGCAGGTATTGAAACTGCGCCAAGTTTCCAAAAACACCCTTGAAACCCAGAGCCCCAAAAAGTCCTTCCCCCAAGTTCCCCCTTTTGGCCCCAAGCCCAGGTCCTCCTTGGAAGCGCCTCGCTCCTCCTTTGGTGGCTCCGGCTCCTTCGGAGCCTCTGCAACGGCCGGAGCCGCCGAAGAAGCGTCCCCGCCCGGTGCAGAGAAGCCCTCATACTCCGGCGGTGCCTCAGGGTTGGGTTTAGGGTTTAGGGTTTAGGGTTTAGGGTTTAGGGTTTAGGGTTTAGGGTTTAGGCTGCTTTTGCGTCTTCCAATCTTGCTACCGAAAACAGAATTGACGAGTTAACCAAGTGCGTAGCTATTTCAGCAATCAATCAATCAATCAATCAATCAATCAATCAACCAATCAGTATACATATATATATATATATATATATACACTCATACACATACATATATATTTATGGGTCTTAATAACTAGAGTACAGGCTTTGGGTTTGGAGGGTTTGTGGTTCTTGCTTTGGGGTTGATCTAGGGGTGAGGGTTTCCCCTCACTCGCACTCTCTGCAACTTCCCATAAAAAAAAAACTCACACAACGATGGGTCTGATGAGGCCTAGACATGTCTGGATTCTGCACCCTAAACTGTTAGGGCGGCTTGAATGCAGCCTCAGCATACTGTTTCTACCGGGGTTCGAACTCCGTTAATTACAAGTCTTCACTTAGATGTCGGCCGGTTAACAAATTATGACTGCTTCATTGCTTTGTCAGGCTGAAAACCTTTTCTTCAGGCTTTAGGGTTTAGGGTTCAGGGCTTAGGGTTCGCACCCAGGTCTCTGACGCTAGCTGGGTGTCTTTACAGTAACCCTTGTTCTGAACCCAGGCTCTGCCCATCAGCTAAACCCTGCTTAATTTTTCTAAACCTTAAACAGGCCACCATATTTTAAACCCTAAACCCTAGCCCCTAAACCCTAATAAGCCTTAATATTACCCCGGAACCCTGTTCACATATTCCCGGCCCAGGTCTGCAGAGCTTCGAATTGTTTTGAGGGGGGGACTTAGGCTTTGGGCTTTGCTTGTCTACTACAGCGGCCTTAAGCTTTAGGTGCTTGCGAGCTCGCGATTTCGCAAAGTGGTCTGCGGGGTGAGGGAGTTTGGGGTTTTGGTGTTGGGTGGATTAGGTTCCACAACTTGAAAGCTGAGCTAAGTAAGCTCCTCCCGAACCCAATCCATAAAATCTAGCCTCAAATTGAAAGCAACCCGCCTCATCAAATTTCCTGCAACATCACTATAAAAGGCCATGCCCTTAAAGGCCCTGCAGTAGTCGTAAACCTTAACTCAAACCCACCAAACCCACAGTTCTAAATCCAACACCTTAACCTCAAAAGCCAGCCCCTACACAACAGCCCCAAAAAGTCCAACTACAAATATGGTAGCTACATACTATGCTATAACTTGGACCCTTTGGGAGCATGCGCAGCTGTCCAAATCACCCGGAAAAGGAGCCTCAACCACACACGAGCAAGCCCCAAGGTCCACCCAGGTCCACCCAGGTGGATATAGCCTGGAGGCCTATTAGCAACAATAGCCTGTATCCAGTAATGGTCCTTATATCCAAGCCCAGCTCTTATGAAGGCGCCCCATGTTAAGAGCTCTCGTCCCAGGCCTTCTGCGCTGCCTCATAGCAGATGGCCTTGAAGGTTTCGCGATCCAACTCCCAGAGGACGCTCTTCCTGGGCACCCCGCTCCGTCCACGGAAAACGCAATTCCTTGTGGCTCCTACAGAGGGCCTCCGTGGTTAGAGCAGGGTTGTAAGGCTTTTTGCAGTATGTACTAAAATAGGGACTCTCTGCGGCTAGTAGCCCTTCTTGCGACGGGCCTTCTGCGGTTTCAACGTCACCGTGCCTCCACAACAGAAAGCCTAGCCAAGCCTGTCGACTATGGCTTCGATCTTCAAGGGAGCATAGCATGACAGGCACCAGTCCCAAACCCCAAAGCACATTCTCAACCCTCTGCTCAGACTGTCTCATCGCAAACTGAAGCAGAGGAATACAAAAAAAACATAATGTAGGGGCCCTAAAATATTAGAATAGGGTTTTGGGGGGGTTCCTTATGAAAGTTTTTGTATAATTTTCACCCAAACCCTTGTCCCAAGTCCGGCTCAGCGAGTCTTTCATCGTTTGGGCGTCGGACCCTTCAAAGCCCACCCTCAAAAGCCCAGCGTGCTCGTCCTGGAGGCCGCAACTCAAACTGCCTAATATGGGGGGGCCTTAATATCTATAGAGTAGGGCTATGGCGTATGTTATATACTATACTTATAATCAGGAACCCCCAATATAATATAGGTAATTAGTAAGGCCCCTACATGAACCCGAAACCCTTACTAACCGAACCTTCTGTTCCCAGGAGCCCGAACCCCAAACGTCGAACTTCCTAAACTCTGAGCAGGCAGGCAAGCAGAGAGACAATCCCTAAGCCTCCTATCACTATGCTTATTCTTGCTCTCACCCAAACCATTAATGTGTCCTGATTGTCTTTATAAATCCTTCAAGAGCATCATAGGACCAGCCCGGTAGCTGCGAGGCGACCACAGAAGCAGCGCGCCGGCAATTGTACAAGAGCCTCATCGCTTTAGGGTGTAATATAGGGCGCTAAAAAAAATGATGAACACTATTTTGGGAAATCCTTGTCCGCCCTTTTGACCTATAGTATAAGATGCCCCAAAACCCTAGTCTAGTAATTGAGGCCCCTCTATTCAAGCAGTTAGCACCCGCTCAGCTGACTGCGTCGCACTGCAGGGCGCAAGGTTTAGGGCTCAGGTTCCAGTGCAGGGTTCAGCTGCTTTGCTTTGCTTAACCCTAAACCCTAAACCCTAAACCCTAAACCCTAAACCCTAAACCCTAACTCTAAACTTTTTTCTTTTCAGGAGCCGTCTGTTCTTCAGAACTGGGTTTCAATTGGGGTCCTTTTTTGGGCGGGCGCGAGGGGTTTAAAGTGTCCCTCGGCTCAGGGTCACACAACACGGAAGGATGAGCGATCATCCGGTATAGGGGCGGCTTACGGATGAAGGTGGGATCAGGTTTAGGAGCCCGTGGTCGTACCAGGAGCCCGAACAGGCCAATGCTTGGATGCACACAAAGCCTCCCAACATCTCTGAACTAACGAGTATGTACCGAAAATAAACGAGGGTTGGGTTCCTTGGGTCCTTGAGTCTCTGTGTCCTCTATGCTCCAAGGACCCCAGTGGAAGGATACTCGGAGATCACAGAATAGAACCGCAAACAAGGGTGGCCTAACAGTCGTTTGGGCGATGTAGGGCATTTATCAAGGGCTTCATTTGTTGGACCCTCTAAGAAGTGTGGGCGTATGCTTCCCTGCAATCACATTATCCATAGCATAAAGCTCAGTGCTCTTTCGGCGAGGACTTTCAGAATAAGGATTTCAGGTATATTCTGCTTCGGAAGGTATAACAAGCGCCCTCAGGACTACTGATTACTACTGATTACTGCTGTAGTTGCACTTCAATTAAAGCCCCTATAGTATGGCAAAGTCCCATGGTTGGCCTTGTATTTCCCCTGGGGGACCCATGTACCCCAAAAGGACCCATTTCCCCCTAAAGCGTCGCTCAGTGTGCAAAGCCGGAGGGCGCAAGCTCCCCGAAGACGTCCCCGCGGGAGCACTTCTTCACAGATTTCTCCTCCCAAGTTTCACCCTGAACCAACATTGGCTGTTCGAGTGTCACTCTGAACCATCGCCTCGGGCACCGGGTGCCGACCCTTCTTCTGGGCTTGTTGGTAGCGACCTTGAGTTTGAGTTACCATGACAGGGAACATTTGAATAAGCAAGCCTTATGGTTCCCTTTATTGCGGTACTTCAAGCTCCGACACTTAAGAAGCAACCAGTCTTTAAAGACAGAGCTTCTTCACGTGGCAGCTTACATCTTCTCAAACAGCTCCTTTGTAGGATGCACCATTTAGGGGTTTAGGGTTTAGGATTTAGAGTTTAGGGTTTAGGGTTTAGGGTAATTTGCAAAGTTGTGCTACAAGAGACCCCAGGGGCTGCTGAGTAGAGGCGCCCTATATCCAACAATAACAAAAAGAGCTCATAGCCCATATGGGTAGTTCTCTAAAATAGGGTCCCTTTTTGGGTCCCCAATATAGTACGGCACCCTTATAATATGGACCCTAAAAGGGCCCCTAATGTAGAAAACTACCCATATGCCTGCCGACCCTTGAAGGTATACTAATTGCATTAATTGATTATTCACTTAAAGCAGAAAACTGATTCCTAAAGCACACGCACAGAGCGTTGCTGGCAATTCTGGGAATAATTCATAATTAATAACAACAAGATTCTTAAAATTACAATATTAATGGCAATAATATATGATATTTTTTGCAATAGTACTGACAAGGGCTCTTATGACCAGTCTCAGCAATTCACAGCGACCCGAGCTTCGGGTCTTGGGGTCCCAGGGGGTCCAAGGGTTTCGAACCATTCTGTGCTTCAGGGTTTAGGGCTTTAGGGCTTTAGGGCTTTGGGGTATTTAGGGGTTTAGGGTTTAGGGCATTCGGGGTTTAGGGCTTTCGGGGTTTAGGGGTTTAGGGCTTCACTTTAGGCAACTACAGTCTCCAGATGCAGGCAGGGAAAAGGAAGAGACATGTCTAAGTAATTAGTTCGGTGCTCCTTCGAAACAAAAACGTGTCTAGGCCCCAGGGTAATCCTGTCCTCGTCACCGATTTTCTTGAAGCATTCGAGCTCCCCCTCCTCGATCACCCACATGACCTCGCCCTCATCACCTGTCCGGATCGGATGTAACAGCCAGATATTGGAAACTCCCCGCATAAACTTGAACACAGCCGAACAGCTGGTTTTTGCCAGGGACCCCGAATCTCTCTCGCGCAGTCTCGAAGCGTCAGCTGCGTTCAGGCGTGTTGGTAGCAACAGCTGAACTCTCTGTCCACTCTTCTTGAAGTCCAGCATGCACGGGCCGAGCTGTAATTATTCACGTGTCCTGAAAAGCATGCGGCTAAACTTGATGAATGCCAATAACACCCTCAACACTAAACCTTGCAAACCTCTTTGTTCGAGTGGCGACCTTATAAACCCCCAAATCAGCCCGGTCCTACAAGCCCTTCAACGATCTCCGACGCCAGGAGCTCTCCGTTTGACTCTCGCTTAATCTTCAATGGCATTTATGTGTCGAACCTAAAGTAGACATGGCTGGTAGAGCACGGCAATGCACAGGTTCAGAACTGCACCGACCAGCCAATCTTTTGATCTTGTTGCTGTCCCTGCTGTGTGCATGTGTATGTGTGTACACACATCTGCACAAATATTCTGCATGAACAGGGTCTTGCGCCAAGCAGCATTTCATTTCACACATCGTCTTCTGCTACGCAGGGTCTTCTGCTAGATACATGTTTATCTTTGACAAGGTCTTCGGATGCTATGGCGTAGCTTGGCTGCGATTTCAGGGGAAAGGAGGAACACGTAGCATGTGTAATGTGACGAGGATATGCCACAGCGATTGTTGCATGCACCGTTCCAGGGAAATCATGGTAATTAAACCCAAGCTTAGCAAGCAGGGCTGTCGTGCTAGAGCTAGACATACTAAGCTGTAACACCAAATTGCTGACGTGCTTTGTCGGTCCCTCGAACACGCTCCCATGAGCCACCTTGCTGAATAAGACGCGTGCCGCTTTCCACCACCTTAAAGCAGCTGGTGCGGAATGACAAAGCTTTGCATTCAGACAGCTTGAGGGACTCCGGTTGTTTCTGAGCGTCATGCTGGTTGGAGGAGCCCGACTTGGCCTACAGCCGCTCCCTGATATAGACTATAGCGCGCTCTCTACCTATCCTCCATCCTGCTCCGACGCCCTCTGCTTCCTTCAGCTGAGGCAACTGAACACCCAAATTAACCCCGACAGTGTTTGTATGCGATGGCTATCATATTACAATCGGTACTTGCACTGTCTGGTATATTACGCATTGCATAGCACTGCTGCTGTTCTAGGCGGCCTGGCTTAGGGACTCCTCAGTTTGTTGAAGCTCAGTATCAGTCACCTCTTGGGCTGAACTCGGCGCTAGTGCAAGATGCGAAGCCTCGTCAGATGCTGTAAGCTCATACCAGTTCATCTCATTGGATAGCCCGAAATCCTAAAGCCCTAAACACCTTAAATCCTTCAACCCGAAACTCTGTGGGGCAATCATGGCAGGCTCTATGCGAATCTGCGTGGTGCAGGAGCTGCATCGTTGGGATGATTGAATGGTAACACGGTAATGGGCGGGGCGCTTTGCAGTATAAGTATACTGCTACAAATGACATGCTGGAATTCTCCCGCGACAAGGAAAGCGCAACTTTGGAGACAGGTCCACCTTCTCCTGCATCGCGTCCAAGATGATCTTCAGGTTCTCGGGCGTGTGATGCTTGAACCTGACTTCCAGGCGCTCAGAGGGTCCATCCAAGGGAGACCTCCATGATTGGCCTTGATTTTTGTTGTACCTGTGTTAGGAACATCTATACGGATACAATACATATGTCAGCAAGGACTCGCTCGATGATAACAGCACAAACCCGGTTGAACGGCAAACGGCAGGGCCTCGTCTAACTTTCGCTCAAGACACCAGTCATGGTTAGATTGGCGAAGATGCCGGCGGATTGTGTAATGTAGAGGCCTGAATAATTAGAATAGGGTTTTGGGGCACATTATACTATAATCATAATAAGGAACCCCCAAAAATAACATTGGTAATTATTTAGGCTTCCATACTATCCAAAACGCTCACATCTGATGAAGGGGCCGGGCTATGCACGTCAGGGGAAGCAAAGCAGAAGTCCGAAGTGCGTCCGGTTCTGTAAGATACCGGCACTTTGCAGAGGAGAAAGGCGTTTTGCTAGCTCCACGGGCTTGCGCTGATACAGCAAGCTCATTAGACGCTTTTAACCCGGGTCACATTTTTTGGTCTCAAGCCCTCTATTCTCGAAAGCTATTGATGTGCAGCACCATATCCAGAAACCTCAAAGGTGGCTGTGCCCATTGAACATGCAGTCCGGTCCAGGCCGACTTAAGCCGAGGTGCATCCAACACTGCTGCAGGACCTTCTCTAAACGATCCTTCTGAGACTGGTCCTGCAAACCCCGAAAACCACAAATGGGATTAGGGGTCCGTGTCGGGAAGCTCCGGGCTTCGCGTATCCGACTTTTGGAATTGCTTCTAGTGCTTTGGGGATTTATGTTGACGTCGGGGCGTGGGTCATGGGGCGGGGATGGTTTTTTATGCCGCTTTTGGCCTGCATTGGGTACTTCCTAGGTCTCGAACCCCGAAATGTCAAGGAACCCAAGTCCGAAACAAAGAGCCCTTCTCGACACCAGGTAATTAAGATGAACAACATTATTGTTCAGAACACCGGTAATAATAAGAATCATAGCAGGACGAAAGCTCAACGCCTGCACCCAGGGTCCTTGGGAATGACCTTGGGCTCATAGGCCTTGCGCTCGTTGAACGCGCCATAGGCCTTATTGCCGTTGAGGTTCGGGGCTTTATCTGCTTTTGGCGGTTGAGCCTTTGGAAATGCCGGACACACGCAAACGTCTAAGAAAGCAGGGAACCTTTAATCTGGAAAAGTCGAGATATGATTCTTGCCCGGGTTTGAAGTGAGTATCATGAAACGCGATTGGCCAACGTCCCAAAAGTATAACGAAAGCCGGGCATTTTGGGGGTGTGAGATTGACGGGTCTGTCAAATCGGGTTGCTGCCATTATCGTTCTTCTTCCAAAGGGTCAAGGACTCTCTCTCTCTCTCTCTCTGATGCCCCGAGTCTGAAGGCAACGTGTGTGCCCTCATCATCGGCTGCAAAAACTAACATCATTATCAACAAGGTTCTCACTGCACGCATGAAGTTGCTAGAGGTCCGACGAAATAGTCACCACAACTTTTTGGCCATATATAGCCAGGCAACAATCTGCAATCTATGCCGCAAACTAATTCCGGCTTTTTAGGCTTTATCCCCTCATGTTTGATTTCACAAACTTCACAAAGAATTGAAACTTAAGGTAACAGTCTCCGATTCAGTGAACCGTTTGCACCCTTGTTTGCTCTCGTGATGTTTCCCCTAAGTCTAAAACCTGTCACAGAGTGCCCCAACCTGCATGAAGCGCATCACAAGGATCAAGGTAGCAGTTGCTGTAGGAGTAAGAGCAAGAGTAGAAGCAGGAGTCTCAGTGGGAGCAAGATCTGGGTGTGGGGGAAGGGTAGGGGTAAGAGCAGGAGCAGCTTGGAAAAGTAGTAGTAGTAGTCGTCGTC